CCCCAAAACCCCAAAACCCCATAGCACATAATCTATCAAAAAAAATGTATTTGTTAAAATTTAATTTAAGATGACTTCTCTAATTTACAAAAATAATCCAACTACTTCAAATTAGCTTGTTTTGAGCAGAGAAGAGATGAACCAAATTGTGAGTGAACCTGTGAACCATCACGATTTGCAAGAAGTAATCACTTCAGAATCTATCTAATACTATTTGAGCAATTTACTTTAAGATACTTTCAATTTCTACATTGAAAACAAGCCAAAGATATCAGACTATTCTTTACTTGGTAATTCACTTTTTTAATAACTTTTAGTTGAAAAAAATTAGTAGAAATTACTAGATAAACTTCTACTGGGGTTAGGAATTAGCGATGTAAAATAGCAGTAAAGTAAGAGGCCTAAGAAATCCAAGTATCAGAATATCAAGTAAATTCCTAGTTTGCACCCTCAATTCCAGCAGAAGATTATGAATCTTACTGGTCTATCCTTGTATAATGAGTTCAACTAGGATTTGGAGTATGGTTGATAAATAGCACTACCAAAAACTAAGGATTAAGCAGAGGCTCGAATCTTTCTTGATTTGATTTTGAATGATTCTACTAATAAGATTGATACTCTGACGACAGATGTTAAACTTATGGGTCAAGGTTGGAATCTAAATCAGATGCCAAGTCAAGAGTTTTCTAAGGTTGTCAAGGATAGACTTACTTTGGAAAATTATCAATCCACCTTATAGTTGCTATCAAAAAAGGGAATAGAGGAAGAAATTGATAGACTTCTGTTTCAGCCGATGAATGTAATTGACCTAAAGGACTCTGAGGATTTCTATGATATCGATAATCGAGCTTACAGGTATGAGTAGAGCTATCCAAATAGATAGACTTATCAAGTCAAACCTTCAATCGGAAGCTATCAAAGAAAATTCAATAGTAAACAAATCCTCAATTAAAATTGAATCAAAGCTATTTCTGATATTATTTCTGCAGTTATTGGATTCATATTCTAAACAGTAAGTATCAAATCAATTTAAAATAGCTATCTATAATTATGAGAAATCGAGAATATTATCAGTACTTAAATTGGAATTACCTTAGAATTTGTTTTTTAATTATCAAATTAATTTTGTTTAATTACCTTATCTTATGGGGTTTTGGGGTTTTGGGGTTTTGGGGTTTTGGGG